GATTGGGCTGCTGCCCCCTCGGCAGCCTCTCACCAAGGATTACAGGATTTAAATGTCTGATTTAGCAAGGCTGAGTCTCCAGGGTGGCCATCTGCTCCTCTAGAAAGGATACCTGGGTTCCAAAGGGAATGGGGGTGGGTGCTACTGGATGGAGAGAGGCCAGTGGGAGGCCTGCCAGCCAGGGTCCCGGGAAAGTGGGGGCAGCTAAGGTAAGGGTAAGGGTGTGGGGCTAGGCCCTTCCCAGCATCCCCTCATCCTGGGCCTCATGCCAGGTGGTTGAATGAATTGAAGCTTTAAACTCTGCCAGGAAAACCTTTCAAAGGGCTTCTTGGGATAGGGAAGAGAGTCGGGTTGAGGAGCTCAGTACCCCCTGCCCGTGCTCCTGAGGGCTGCTGGCTCCCAGGGAGGGGGGATGGGGGCAGGCAGGCTCTTCCCCATCACCCGCTGCTGTCTAAGCCAGTGCTTGGAGGGGCAGTCAGACATGGCTTGTCCTGCCTCCTCCAATTTGGTGGAGACAGGTGCTAAGGTCCAGAGGGGCTTCTGGGGCCACCGTCTTCTCAGCTCATCAGCCAGGCTAAAGGTGCCAGCAGGAGCCCCTTGCCTTGCCACAAGGATCCCAGACAGCTATGAAGCCACCAGCATTCCTGACTTAAAGACCACTTTTTTTTTTTCTCTTTCTTACTAGGAAATGCCAAATGCTCCCCCCAGGAGCTCCGGATCCACCTCTTTCAGAGACTCTTTTTTTTTTTTTTTTTTTTTATAAGAGACTCTTAACTTAAACATCTGACCCTACACAACAGGCAAACTAGGGCTCGTGACGCTCACTCCCGGTCTTGCTTCTGTAGACAGGTCACCTCAGTGAGCTTCGTTTTCCCTTTTTTTTTTAGGCTTTATTGGGCATAACTGTCCCCCAGAATTGCATATATTTAAGGTATGCAATGTGATGATTTGATATGGGGTATACTGTGAAATCATTACCACAATCAAATTAATTGATGTGTCCATCATCACACAGTTACCCTTTGTTCGTGTGCACACGTGCTCACCTTTGATGAGGACACAGATCTACTCTGCAAATTTCAAGTAAACGGAAAATCTCCCTTTTTGACAACCGTCCTCCACCCTTTTACTCACCACCGTTCCCTAGATTGTGTCCCTAGCTCTGTTTTCATTTCTGCTGTGCTGCTTCAGATCCATTCTGACTCTGCCAATCCCTTCTTTGTGAGCTGATAGATTTCAGGATTGAGAATTACCTCCAGCTGTGGTGGCTCATGCCTGTAACCCCAGCACTTTGGGAGGCCAAGGCAGGTGAATCACCTGAGGTCAGGAGTTGGAGACCAGCCTGACCAACATGATGAAACCCCATCTCTACTAAAAATACAAAATTAGCCAGGCATGGTGGTACACGCCTGTAATCTCAGCTACTTGGGAGGCTGAGGCAGGAGAATTTCTTGAGCCTGGAAAGCGGAGGTTGCAGTGAGCAGAGATCCTGCCATTGCACTCCAGCCTGGGCGACGGAGTGAAAGTCCGTCTCAAAAAAACAAAAAGGAGGGGTGGGGAGCTGGGGAGAGATAGCAAGGGGAGAAATGCCAGATGTAGGTGATGGGGAGGAAGGCAGCAAATCACACTGCCACGTGTGTACCTGTGCAACAATTTTGCATGTTCTTCACATGTACCCCAAAACCTAAAATGCAATAAAATAAATAAATGGGGAAAAAAAAAAAGAATTACGAAGCTGAGACTTCAGGCCAGTTCCCCTATACTATATATCCTAACCTCTCTGGTCCTGCTTGCTGGCTTCTTTCCCTCTGGGTCCATCCCATCTAGACAGCAGGTACTCATTGGTACCTTACCTGGTGCCAGGAGCTGTTCTAGGCCCTGGGGATCTATGGCAGACAGGGTCCCTACCCTCCCACTCAAAAGAGACCAGGTCTTATCCTAATGAGATCTGAAATCAAATCTCCCAATTCTTCATGGTTCCAATCTAAACCTGTAATTCACAACCTTAAACCAGCATGTTCTATTTTTTTATTTAGAAAACATTTCCAGCTGGGCACTGTGGCTTACACCTGTAATCCCAACACTTTGGGATGCTGAGGCAGGCAGGTGGATCACGAGGTCAGGAGTTTGAGAGCAGCCTGACCAACATGATGAAACCTGTCTCTATTAAAAATACAAAAATTAAGGCCGGGCGCGGTGGCTCAAGCCTGTAATCCCAGCACTTTGGGAGGCCGAGGCGGGTGGATCACGAGGTCAAGAGATCGAGACCATCCTGGTCAACATGGTGAAACCCCGTCTCTACTAAAAAAAGTGGAAAAGATAGCTGGGCGCGGTAACTCACGCCTGTAATCCTAGCACATTGGGAGGCTGAGGTGCGTGGATCACCTGAGGTCAGGAGTTCAAAACCAGCCTGGCCAACATGGTGAAACCCCATCTTAAAAAAAAAAGAAGAAAAGAAAAGAAAGAAAAAAAAGTGGAAAAGATGCATGAAAGTGTGTATGATAATGACCCAATTTTGGTATAACAATGACCAAAACCCAATGATCCTTTTCTGTATGATGAGGGATGTGTGTGTGTATTATGCATTAATGATAAAATTGTGTATATGTGTATGCATATGTGATAACGCTATTTTTCAAGACAAATACTAGGACCAATTCATTGCAAAAAGAAAAAAGGCCCCAAGAAGAAAATAAAAATTAACTATAGGCCCCCCTTTCCCCATATATCACAAGAAGCATCACACATATTTTTTTCTATGCTTATGTGTATGTGTTTACTTTTACACAAAATTAGGCTCGTATAGTTCATATTGTTTGGACATCCATGTTTCTTCTAGGCAACTTTTCTCACCTGTCTCTGAGCATTTGCTGATGCTCTTTTCTCTCCACACCACCCCTCCTTTTTGTTTTTTTTTTTTTTGAGACAGAGTTTCACTCTCCTTACCCAGGCTGGAGTGCAATGGCGCAATCTCTGCCCACTACAACCTCCGCCTCCTGGGTTTAAGTAATTCTGCTGCCTCAGCCTCCCCGGTAGCTGGGACTACAGGCGTGCGCCACCATGCCCAGCTAATTTTTGTATTTTTAGTAGAGACGGGATTTTACCATGTTGACCAGGATGGTCTCGATCTCTTGACCTCGTGATCCACCTGCCTTGGCCTCCCACAGTGCTGGGATTATAGGCGTGAGCCACCGCGCCCAGCCAACCACTCCTCCTTTAAGCTCCCACTTAAATGCTCCATCCTCTGAGAAGCCTTCCATTAATGCCCCTGGCAGACGGAGGCTGACAGCTCTGAATTTTGTCGTCAGATTTTGTCACCGGCTTTCTCCCCTTCCTTGAAGCATGTTTAGGTCTACCTTGTATGAGAGTTTCTCATGTGCTCCTCACCTCTCCAAGGGAGCTCCTTGGGGGCAGGAACTCTGCCTCTTTCATAAGTGTGTCCTCAGGGTGCCTAGAATGCACACAGTAGGCACTTTATAAGCATTGCTGTACAAAAGGGATGTAGGCTTCCTGCCTCACTTGTATGGAGTCATCTCAAGATAGTGTACGCCAAATTAGTGAAGGTGAAGAAGGTAGATGCTTGCACACTGGAAGGAAGAGGTCAGAGCTAGGAAGCGGCCTCCAAGGGCCGGGGGATCCCGCTGGGACCACCCAGATCCACCCTCCACTCCTTCCCTGGACTCTTCCAACTGCTCAGAAAGGAACAACCCACACACGGGGCTCTGTGTACGATATATATTTATATATATAATTGCTCTCATTTTATTTTACTTAATCCTCTTTTTACAGTAGATCTGACACAGGCATTAAATAACTGCAGAGAGAGACTGTGGTGGGGGGCAGGGGCGGGAAAACATGGGAACCTGAAGGGAAGAAACAGATCCAGCTAGAGAAAAAGGGAGGGGTCCACCAGCGGGTGGAGTACGGAGGCTGCTGCATTAAAAAAAGAAAAAGAAGGTTAGAGAGCAGGAGGAAGTGAGCGATGCTGGAGGACAAAGAGTTAACATACTCTACAACTACAGAGTATTCAGAGCAGGAGGCAGGAGGCCCCTCATTTGACATTCCGTGAGTGTTATGGGTTTTTGTTTTTGTTTTTGTTTTTTTAAAGGCAGAGGGGTCTGAAGGAGATGGAGCCAAGACATTCAGAGGCTAGATTTGGAACTTCCAGGCCTGCATGCGGAGGAAAGGGAAGGAGTTAGTGATTCGTTGATAACTTGCTAAGAGAAACCAGAGAGACGGTGGTGGGGGCAGATCTGGGCTCAGGGGAAGGAGGTGGAATAGTCCCAAAGCCAGCTGATGTTTCCAAGGTGGCCACTGGGGACGGAGCAAAAATGGCCACCCCTCCCCCAGAGCTCCCTGGGAAGTGGAACTTGAAGGATATTCTGGGAAGGCGAATGGGGGAAGGGAGCCATCCATAAAAACAAAGTGGATATTCAGCCTAGGTCAACCCCGCCCCTCTGGGTAGCAGCTATTTGGGTGATAGAAGGGCCTAGGAAGAAACTGAAGGCCGGGTTCAGTGGCTCATGCCTATAATCCCAACCCATTGGGAGGCCAAGACGGGCAGATCACCTGAGGTCGGGAGTTCAAGACCAACCTGGCCAACACGGTGAAACCCCGTCTCTACTAAAAATACAAAAATAATTAGCCAGGCGTGGTAGCAAATGCCTGTAATCCCAGCTACTCAGGAGGCTGAGGCAGGAGAATTGCTTGAACCTGGGAGGCGGAAGTTGCAGTGAACCAAGCCAAACGCCATTGTACTCCAGCCTGGGCAACAAGTGTGAAACCTCGTCAAAAGAAAGAGAGAAAAAGTGAAAGAGAGGAAGAAAGGAAGGAAGGAAAGAAACTGAAGTCAGGGGCTGCTAGAGGATTTTTGGGAAGGGTCAACACAGCAGGCCTCGCGTCCATTTCTTCATTTCCCAGCTCACAGAATCACCAGAGAGTGAGCAGCAGAACATGCCAGGAAAGAGGGAAAAGGCCACAGAATCACCTTGTCCTCAGTCACAAAGGGGTGCCTTTCAGAGGAGGGAATAGGGATGAAGAGGCAAAGAGCTTCCCAGGAGCCAGCTAAGTTCAAAGTCACCAAGATAGTGACTGTGTAGACAGGGAGAAAGTGAGAGAGAGATCAAGAGACAGTGGCTAGAGCTTAGGAATGGAAGGATGGAGTGCCACAATCATCTCTGGAAGCAAAGGGGTAAGAGGCACGCGTGCACTTTTGTGTGTGGGGGTGGGGGGGGTGTGGGGGTGGGTATAGGTGGTGGGTGGGTGGGTGGGTCAATGGGCACTTCCTATAACTCTCAGGGGATATGCAGGCAGGAGAGTGGGTAGCTCTCACAGCTAAACCAGAACTAGAAAGGCTCCTAACGCCTCTGTGGCCATCTTGGTAGCCCAGCTCCCTCTCTGACTGAGCTGAGGTTGGGAGAAGTTGGTGGGAAATGCAAGTGACCAGAGAACCGCCATGGACTTCAGGCTGGGTTGAGAAGTCAAGGAAAAGGGTGTGAGGCTCAGACAAGTCATAGCTCTGTTATCAAAAATACCTTTGGGGTGGGTGAAGGAGGGATCAGGCAGGGTCAGGGACATTCCAGGAGCATCCACAGGAGAGAGGTGGAGTGGGAGGAAGGGGCCTCAGGTTTTGTTGATTCGGAGTTTGAATGCCACGCGGCCGGCAAACTTGTCTCGCTCATCATCTGTGGCGATGTTGGCGGCGTTGATGCGACATTCTACATTCACCTCCACATTAGGGGTCACATTCAGGAACTTCACGGCCACCAGGGGCTGTGTGTAGTTTACCTGGGCCGGAGGAGCAGTGCAGGGTCTAGGCCTGGGCCCACTCAGCCTCCTTCCCTAGCTCACCACCCGCCCCCGCCATCTGCCTGGGCCTCCCCTAGGACTTACGTGGAACTTTTTGCCATAGTAGGGGAAGTACATGAGGTCAATGTTGCCATTGGCGGGGAACATGACGAAGTGGCCGAGATTCTCAGCATCTTCATCTCGCTGTGGGGGTGCAGGAAGATGGGGGTGAGCAAGTTAGGGATGGCAGGCACCCAGGAGCTCACCAGACTTCCATTTGTTCTTTTGTTCTTCCTTCGCCCCCAGTTTTGCCTGCCTCAAGTCTGCCTCCCTGGAGCCGTGAGTCTGCGTGTGTGTGTCTGCGTGTGTGTGTCTGCGTGTGTGTGTCTGCATGTGTATGAGTCTGCGTGTGTGTGCCTGCGTGTGTGAGTCTGCGTGTGTGTCTGCATGTCTGCATGTGTGTCTGCGTGTGTCTGCGTGAGTCTACGTGTGTGTCTGCATGTGTGTGTCTGCGTGTGTGTGTCTGCGTGTGTAGATGAGGGAATGCTCTGTCTCTGTCATCATTCTAGGAACTCCTGAAGGCTGGTAATGACACGAAAGCCTCCTACTCCACTCCCACCCCAAGTTCTTACCCCATCCTCAGGAATCAGTTTCTGGAGCAGAGCCAAGAAAGAACAGATAAGTGATTAAGGGTTGAATAGGAGGCAAGGAAGGGGATGTGAATCGGGTAGTAGGTTTCTAGAAAGGACAGAGCACTGAGTGGAGGGGAACAAGATCCCAAGGACAACGTAGTGGTGGCAGATGGCGCTAACAGATCAGCAGCTACCAGATATCTAGAAGGAACTGAGGGGTAGGGGCCATAAGGAGGGAGAGCAAAAAATATGGACAATCCGGGAATAAAGGAGAAACTGGAAGGGTTAGGGAAGACGCCAGGGGCAAGGGCATTGGTGGAGGAGGGGGTGTGTCTGCCCCTACGAGAGCAGACCTCTGCATCCTAGAGAGAAGCAAGAGGAGTTCGAGGCCCTTGGATTTCAAGCTACAGTGGAGCCCACAAGCCCACTCTTACCCCCTTGTTTCTATGGTGATGGGGCTTCTGGGAGCAAAGAAGATAGGGAGAGACAGGTGAATTACACAGAAACCATGAAGGATACACAGGTGAGCAGGCAGTCAAGGCCCAGTGAACTCACCTTCCCAGCACAAGTAACATTCATGCTCTGGTTTGCTCCTGCATAGAAGTTGATGACCTGGAGTGAGGATGGAAGGTAAGGAGAGTCAGAGGAAAAGTCGTGAAAGATAGGTATCCAGACCAAGCTAAACTAGGCACTGTAGTCCCAACTGCTAGGGAGGTTGAGGTGGGAGAACCGTGTAATTCCAGAGGTTCAAATAGCTTAATTCAATGGGCAACATTGTGAGACCCTGTCTCAAAAAAAAAAAGGGGCATCCAGCCTCCTAGCTATAGAGCTTAGCCTCCAAGGCCCCGCCTCTTTCCCTCTCAGCGACACAAACATCCATGTTTCTCTCATGTCCATTAACCCCAGTGAAAGGATGCAACTGTCTACAGGTGATGGCCCCAGATCCTTCCTCCGTTCACCCTGGGGACCAAGGTCATGGGTACCCGGTTCATCTTGATGAAGACACAGGGCTGCCCAGTGCTGTAACCATAGTGGGTGGGGTCCCCAATGCCGGAGCAGTCGCCCAGCTGGGTCCGGTTGAATTGGCAGGCACGTTTGGGGTAGTTGAGGACTCCATTATCTGGCTGTTCGTAATAGCGCCCAGGGCGGCAGACATCATTCTTCTGGGCTTGGATAGAGTCGTTGTAAGCTAAGGAGGTGGGAGGGGAGAGAGTCAGGAGCCAGATGTTCCATTTCCGAGGTCCCCAATCCCCTGCCCGAAGTCTTGACCTGCCACACAGCCCGGCTGACACTCACGCTCCAAGAACTTGTTGAGCTTCTGAACATGCTGGTCCCAGCTTTCAGTGTCACTGACATTGACAATGACATCAAGGTTCTCAGTCTTGGGGCGAATCATCAAGCCTACAGCCGACAAAGGCAGAAGTTGGGGGTATCTATAAGATGAGGGACGGCACACAGAGCGAAGAAAATGACACAGGAAACACCAGAGTGGGGACAGCAGTGAATATCTGAGATTGCCTTCATGGGAGTGTGATTTCCTGTGGTTATTTGCCACATGCCCAAATCACATAGTTCCCAGCTGTAGGGAATGGGAAGGAGGACAGATTCCAAGAAGAACTTCCCAAGCATATAGGGATTGGGTCATCAGAATCAAACTCCTGGAAAGAACTACGAGTTCCTTCTGGAGGTTTAGGGGCACAATAGCAGCTAGAGTAGCTGGCAGGGGGAGCGTCGACACTCACCCGGTGTGGCCAGTCGGTCCTGGTACTTGGGGGTATGGTCGGAGACAGTCTGTAGCATCACCCACATGGTGAGGGAGAACATGGCGGTGAGGAAGCCGTAAAAGATGAGGTAGAAGAGGAGGATAAAGGCTAGGGAGGAGGAAACAGAGTCAGCAGGGCCTACGGTTCCCGCTGTACCCTCACTTATCCCCACACACCCCTCTACCTACTCTGAAGTTCTGCACTGGGCCTGGTCACAGACCCACAGGGATGTCTTAGAGCCTTCCCCTGGGAGCAAAATGAGACAAGCTGGAAACAGGCAGTTGTGTCTGGCTTTCAGCCATGACTCCCAGCCCCCTCCTGGCCCTAGGGCACAGTGAAGCCCGACCTTGTGGAAGCCACAGAGACCTAAACTCTCCTTGCTGGGGCAACTCCAAGTGTAGGCTGCTGTTGTTTTGCCTCCAATTACATTTCCAACTTTTCAGCCATGCATGGTCCTGAAAAGGCACACATCTGTTACCTCTGCACTCATACTCATGCTTAAAGCTGTGCTAGCATGATGACTTTTTTTTTTTTTTTTTGGAGATGGGGTCTTGCCCTGTTGCCAGGCTGGAGTGCAGTGGCACAATCTCGGCTCACTGCAACCTCTGCCTCCGGGTTCAAGCGATTCTCCTGCCTCAGCCTCCTGCATAGCTGGGATTACAGGCCTGTACCAACACACCCGGCTAATTTTGTATTTTTAGTAGAGACTGGGTTTCTCCATGTTGGTGGTCAGGCTGGTCTTGAACTCCCGACCTCAGGTGATCCACCTGCCTCGGCCTCCCAAAGCGCTGGGATTACAGGTGTGAGCCACCACACCTGGCCGACACGATGACTTTTTAAGTAGGTACTGGCCACCACTCACAAGCAAACCCTCATACCACCTTGCAGAACATGAGGGTTTGCTTTTCAAAGCCTCAGGTTTGAAAAGCAAAATCTCTCTCCTGGTGCCCTGGAGAAGCCAAACTTTGATCAGTTCCTGAAATGAAAGACCTAACACTAGCCTAGATATAAATCTCTGAGACAGCTTGTTAGAACCTTTGACAGTCACTCCACCCTCAGCTCACACCCAGCACCCTGGGCAGAGGCAGGGAGGAAAGGCAGAATCTCCCACAGCCTTCCCTTGGTTGGATCTCTCTATGGCTACCCGGCCTGAAGTAAGGACCCCCTGTTCCCACCACTCTGGAATCCCAATCCTTCCATCTCAGAAGACACTTCTACCATGAAGTCCTCCAGTTCTCCCAAGCATTGCTGGATTCTTCCCATCCCAGGGGCTGGACTTTGAGTTCCCTGAGGGCATGGATTGCATGGGACCCACCTTGGGGGCCCCTGAGCCGGTGGACTGATGGGGACAGTGCCCAATCAGTTTGGAAAAATTGTAAACCGTGTCACACAGCATCCCCTGTGTCTCAGTGACCCATCTTGACCATCCCTCTTGGGAAAATTCTACCCCTCCTCACCTGCACCCGTGCGGGTCACCAGAGCCCCCTGACCACTACAACTTCCTGAGCCCTGCCATGGTCAGCCTGGGCGGGCTCCCAAGCCATCCGACTGCCACAGACACTGGGCTGGCTGATGCACACATCTCACCACAGTGACCACTCATCCCCACGCCACCGACATGGGAGCAAAACCTGCAGCCTCCGAAAAACTCATACTATCAGCAGCCCCCCACCTACAAAGCAGTCACAGAAGGCTCCCAAGGCCAGGCGGTGGGATACAGACAACTTCCGCCGTGAAGAACCCCCCTAACATCCCCCCAAGACCCGCCCCCTCAAGAACATTCCCAGGGTCCAGGGGGTGGGCACGAGCTAAAAATAAACGGGGCTGAAGAGCTAGTGAGAGCCGGAGGTAGGGAAGGGGCGCTCTTTGGAGGTGGGGACGCCCGTGTGGAGCGGAGAGGCCCCAAGAGGGAGTGTGAGCGCCGCGGCGCGGACACGCAGGCAGAGCAGGCGACCCCCCGCCCGAGGGGGCTCCGCGGGGGGGCGGGAAGGCGGCTGTGACCTACTTTCTCCGCCTCCGCACGGCCAGCCGGGGAGATTAGACTGGCGATTCGGCCCCCTCCCAGCCCAGAGCCCGGCAGGGGGGCTGGACGCGGGGACCCGGGAGGGGAGCTGGGGCTGCGCTGGCGGGACCCTGCGCCCCCCAAGGCGTCGCCCCGCGCCTCCCCCACCGCCCCTCGCGTGCCGGCCCTGCGTACCCCAGCTGGTCCCGGTGCGGCCCATGAACTGGTGCGTCCTCGGGTTCCACACGAACTCCTTCCACTCCTCAACCACCTGCCCGCAGCTCTTCTTCTCTTTCTGGATGACCATCTTGGCGGCGCGGGGCGAGTCCCGGCCCGGGGCTGGGGGCTGCGGAGAAGCGGGGACGCCGCGCGCTGTAGCCCTCCACACACCCAAAAGCGCGGGGAGCGAAGGCGGCGGGGGCAAAGGAGACCCCCCGCAGATATGCAGCTGCTGCAAATTCCGGGGTTCACGGCCACGCACTGCGGGGTGCTGGCAGCGCGGCGGAAGATGCACCGATCCTAGGCCCCCCAACTGCGATGAAAAGGGGTGCTGTCAGAGCAGGGGAGAATAACAAGACGAAGGGGTATGAATGCAGCTTCACCCCCCAAACCGTCTAGAAGCAAAGCGAAAAGGGGTGCAAAAATAGACGGCTACAAAAACCAAGCAAAACGCAGAAAAAAGCGGGGTACAAAAAGGCAGGGAGAGGTGGGGGAGGGGGCCGCCCCGAAATCCAAGATGCAAAGAGGCTGTGGAACGAAGCTCAAGGCTCCCTCCGCCAAGCAGAGACCACTGCACCAGTGGCGGCTCGGCCGCGGGGGTGGGGCGGGAACGCGCAGTTGGGGGACAGCCAGGGATGGGGGGCCCCCGAGGCGGAGGCTCCGCTCCTCAGCAGTGCGGGGCCCTCGGTCGCGGATCGCGGTCTTTATACTCTGCGGCTCTGGGGGTGCCCGCCCCCTTCCCACCCCCAAAAGCTCCACCTCCTCGCCACTGGCCCAAGCGACCTCATGCATATGTAAATATGGAGAGAGTTGAGCCCGCCTCCTCCCACGCCCCCTGCCTCCTCTTAGGGACCCGGCGGTCTCCCGATTACCCCCACCCTAGATACTGGACTGGGACAGGGTGGGAGGAAGAGATAGAGGGCGTGTCCGGGCGGAGTAGAGGGAAAGATAACCCCAGAGAAACGCAACGACAGAGAGAGAAGCTGATATATGCTCAAAGATGGGGGCCCCAGGCAGGGAGTTAGAAAGACACTACGATAAAGATGCGGCGGAAGAGTCCAGGAGCAGATGGAGCCGAATATCAGAGGAATTAAGAGCTAGAGATCAAGAAGAAAGCGAAGAGACCAGCCGGGAGGCTGGGCGACCCAGGAGGGAAGCCAGGACAGGCCATGCAGAGATGGATAAAGGCCACCCCAAAAGGGACGTTCGCCTGTTGGGAGCCGCTACCAGTCCTCCAGACACCACCTTCTCCAATCTCACAGCCCCTGTCCACACTACCGGCTCTGTCCACGTGCAGAGGCTTCCCCATCTTCCCATCACTTCTCCCTGAAGCCCTCTCAACACCACATTCTCAGTCCCCAGCACTGCCCTGAGACCCCTGCCCTGCAGCCTGGTCTACATCGGTTCTCTGCCTCCTGGCACCCCCACCCCCATGCCTGAACTCCCCTCCTTATGTGTCTACTTGGGTCAGCAAACCTTTACTAAGCATCTCTAGGGACTGTGTGCTGTAGCCCTGGGGAGGCCAGAGACGTTCAACTGAAGCCACAGTTCTCACAGAGCTCACAGTCTAGCAGCGGGGAGTAGACTTGCCTGTAAATACCACATTTTTTTTTTTTTTTTGACGGGGTTTCACCATGTTGGTCAGGCTGGTCTTGAACTCCCAACCTCAGGTGATCCACCCGCCTTGGCCTCCGATACCACATGTTAGGAGTCATTATCTCGGCCAGGTCCAGTGGCTCATGCCTGTAATCCCAGCTCTACGGGATGCCAAGGCGGCAGATCACCTGAGGAAAGGAGTTGGAGACCAGAGGTCAGGAGTTCAAGACCAGCCTGGCCAACATGGTGAAACTCTGTCTCTACTAAAACTACAAAAATTAGCCGGGTGTGCGCCTGTAATCTCAGCTACTCAGGAGGCTGAGGCAGGAGAATTGCTTGAACCTGGGAAGCGGAGGTTGTAGTGAGCCAAGATCGTGCCATTGCACTCCAGCCTGGGTGACAGAGTGAGACTCCATCTCAAAAAAAAAAAAAAAAAAAAAATCTGGGCACGGTGGCTCACACCTGTCATCCCAGCACTTTGGGAGGCCAAGGCAGGCAGATCACCTGAGGCCAGGAGTTTGAGACCAGCTGAACCAACATGGAGAAACTCCATTTCTACCAAAAATACAAAATTAGCCAGACATGCTGGTGCATGCCTGTAAGCCCAGCTAGTTGGGAGGCTGAGGCAGGAGAATTGCTTGAACCTGAGAGGTAGAGGTTGCGGTGAGCCGAGATTGCGCCATTGCACTCACTGGGCAAACAAGAGTGAAACTCTGTCTCAAAAAAAATAATAATAATAATAACTATTATCTCTACCTCTTTCAATTTTTCTTCAAATCTTGCCAATTTTCCTTGGATAGGTTTTTCTTCTCCTTTCAACTGTCGCCTTAAATCCTTAGCCCAAGTTCTCAACACCTCACATCCAAACTGTCAGCCACGTCCTCAAACCCACTCCTTCCAGTCCAAGGCCAACTTCATGAAGTGAGACCTGCACAGTCACACAAGGCCTTTGCTCATTGTTTGGTTTAAAACTGTCGATTTTTTTTTTACCCCCAAACATTCATGGAGCTGAATGCCATCGGTGACTTGAAATTCTTCATAGTCCTATCTTTGAATATGTGCTTTGTAAGTGATGTCCAGTGGAGCACCGGTGCATGTGTGTGAGCAGAGGAGATATGTGTAATATGCTGTCCCATTCAGACAGCGTTCCGGATGCACCATAAGTACAGAATTCTGGGGTACCTACAATGTGTGGGAGTTCAGCCAGACTCCAAATGAGTATAAGGTAAGCATGTTATATCTACAACTGAATACGTGGGGAGGCTGAGCGCAGCTGGTTGCTAAGTTGGGTGTGAACATGGAAAGGCTCCTTCTACAAGGAACCTCAAAAACAGTGGTTCACGCTTGTAATCCCAGCACTTTGAGAGACCCAGGAGGGAGGAGATCCCTTGAGCCCGGCAGTTCAAGACAAGTCTTGGCAATATGGCCAGATCCCATCTCTACGAAAAATTTCTTTAAAAATTAGGTTGGACGTGGTGGCTCACGCCTGTAATCCAAGCACTTTGGAGGCCAAGGCGGGCGGATCACCTGAGGTCGGTAGTTCAAGACCAGCCTGACCAACATGGTGAAACCCTGTCTTTAAAAAAAAAATTAGCCAGGCACCTGGCACAATGGCTGTTGCCTGTAATCCTAGTACTTTGAGAGGCTGAGGTGGGTGAATCACAAGGTCAAGAGATCAAGACCATCCTGGCCAATGTGGTGAAACCCTGTCTCTACTAAAAATACAAAAATTAGCTGGGCGTGATGTGCGCCTGTAGTCCCAGCTACTCGGGAGGCTGAGGCAGTAGAATCTCTTGAATCCAAGAGGCAGAGTTGCAATGAGCTGAGATTGCACCACTGTACTCCAGCCTGGTGAAGAGTGAGACTCTGTCTCAAAAAAAAAAAACTTAGCCAAGCATGGTGGCACACACCTCTATTCCCAGCTACTTAGGAGGCTGATCTGGGAGGACTGGATCGCTATGATCACGCCGCTGCACCCTAGCATAAGTATAGAATGAGAGACTCTTTTTTTTTTTTTTTTTTTTCTTTTTTTTTTTTTTTTTTTTTAAGACTGGGTTTCACTGTGTTGGTCAAGCTGGTCTTGAACTCCTGACCTCAGGTGATCTGCCCACCTTGGCCTCCAAAGTGCTTGGATTACAGACGTGAGCCACCATACCCAGCTGACTTTTTTTTTTTTTTTTTTTTAGAAACGGGGTTTCACCATGTGGGCAAGGATGGTCTTGAACTCTTGACCTTGTGATCCGCTGGCCTTGGCCTCCCAAAGTGCAGGGATTACAGGTGTGAGCCACCATGCCTGGCCTGAGACTATCTCAAAAAAAAAAAAAAGAAAAGAAAAAAGAGGCCGGGCGCGGTGGCTCAAGCCTGTAATCCCAGCACTTTGGGAGGCCGAGGCGGGTGGATCACGAGGTCAAGAGATCAAGACCATCCTGGTCAACATGGTGAAACCCCGTCTCTACTAAAACTACAAAAAATTAGCTGGGCATGGTGGCGCGTGCCTGTAGTCCCAGCTACTCAGGAGGCTGAGGCAGGAGAATTGCCTGAACCCGGGAGGCGGAGGTTGTGGTGAGCCAAGATCGCGCCATTGCACTCCAGCCTGGGCAACAAGAGCGAAACTCCGTCTCAAAAAAAAAGTAAGTTTAAAAAAAGAAAAAAGAAAAGAAAAATAATGAATAAGTGGGAGTGCTGACAGCTGAGAGACCACACTCTCTACTGAGAGCAGAACTTGGCTTTGAACACAGAAAGCAAGCAATGGCATTTTAGGAGGCATGGATGATCACCACATCTTATAAGATCTTTTCTTAGTCATGTCACTTCCCTGTTTAGGCCACTTAGCCTGGCAACAATGACATAGAAGGAAAGGGAAGGCTGAGGCAACCCATGGCTCCTTTTCCTTTCAGTCTTTCCTTCTTTATCAGGAAGCTGAAGGTAGAAAAATATTAGGCTGGGCTCACACCTGTAATCCTAGCACTTTGGGAGGCCAAGATGGGAGGATTGCTTCAGGCCAGGAGTTTGAGACCAGTCTGGTCAAAATCAAGACCCCCATTTTTTTTTTTTTTTTTTTTTTTTAGAGATGGAGTTTTGCTCTTGTTGCCCAAGCTAGAGTACAATGGCACAATCTCGGCTCACTGCAACCTCCACCTCCTGTGTTCAAGAGATTCTCCTGCCTCAGCCTCCCGAGTAGCTGGGATTACAGGCTCTTGCCACCATGCCCCACTCATTTTTTGTATTTTTAGTAGAGACAGGGTTTCATCACGTTAGCCAGGCTAGCCTTGAACTCCTGACCTCAGGTCATCTGCCTGCCTGGGCCTCCCAAAGTGCTGGGATTACAAGCGTGAGCCTCCTCTGCTGGCCTGAAAAATGTTTATTTTAAACATCTTTGTTTTTTGATACAGGGTCTCAGTCTGTCACCCAGGCTGCAGTGCAATGGCATGAACTCAGCTTACTGCAACTTCTGCCTCCCAGGCTCAAGCAATTCTCAAGCCTCAGCCTCCTGAGTAGCTAGTATTACAGGCACCTGCCACCATGCCCAGCTAATTTTTATATTTTTGATAGAGACGAGGTTTTGCCATGCTCGCCAGGTTCAAACTCCTGACCTCAAGTGATCCTCTCGCCTCAGCCCCCCAAAGTGCTGGGATTACAGGTGTGAGCCACCTCGAATGGCCTGTTTTAAACATTTAAACATTAAATAGCAAAGAAAAAAATACCATGAGAAAGCCAGGTGTGGTGACATGAACCTGTAACCCCAGCTACTTGGAGGCTGAGACTGGAAGATCATTCAGCGGACATGCTGGGTGCAGTGGCTCACACCACTAATTTCAGCACTTTGGGAGGCTGATGTAGGCGGATAACTTGAGTCCAGAAGTTCAAGACCAGGCTGGCCAACATGGCAAAACCCTGTCTCTAGTAAAAATACAAAAATTAGCCTGGCATGGTGGTGCATACCTGTAATTCCAGCTACTCAGGAGGCTGAGGCAGAAGAATTGCTTGAACCCGGGAAGCAGAGGTTGCAGTGAGCAGGGATCACGTTACTGTATTCCAGTCTGGGCAACATAGCAAGACCCTGTCTCTAAAACAAAAACCATGAGAAGTTGATGAAAGGAAAATAGTTGAGG